CCACCTGCATCACTCCCTTGATGAGCTGATGGCCTGTCATGTGATTACTTAGCAACTCCAGGGAATGATGGGCTGGGGGTGGGGGTTCCTACAGAGAGAAATGAGAAAGCAGTTGAGATGTAGGCTCAGAAATACCTTCTTTCCATGTCCCTGTTACTAAAACTAATCAAAAGTAACTGTCAAAAGTAAAATCCTGAAATGACTTAAACTGCTGCAAATACTTGCTAGTAATTGCCATTTAGTCATTCTCTTGACCTTTTGTAATGAGTATTAGGGTGAACATTGGCTCTTCTCAGTTTCAGTTTAAAAAAAAAGCAATGAGCTTCTAGTTTCAAAACTCTCTGATTAATCACAAATAATCTAATCCTGACTCCTAATTTTAAAATTAAGAAAACTAACCAGAGAATTTAAGTGACAGAGGCAACAAATATATCTTCATGTGTTTAAGACTATAACTTCTGAAATCAGGAGGCCTGGCTTGGAATCCTGGCTCTGTCACCAACTAGCCAGGTGACTCTGGGCAGATGCTCTCCCTTAAGCTCCCCAGGTCTCAGTTACTCATCTGTAAAATGGGAATAATACTGCTACCTCACAAGGTTGCTATGATGATTAAACGATGCCAAGTGCTCCCATGAGACTCTGCCATATAATATGTCCAATAAATGATTATTATTTTTATTTTCCAAGGTCACAAAGCTTTCTAGTTCTGAAACAGAGCTTTCTATAGATTTCTTTTTTTATCCACTCGACCCTAACCTACATGTCTCACATTTAAAGTTACGGCAGCTTAATAATAAAGTTTTTATAACTCCAAATTGTAGTAATATACTTTTCTCTCCTTCCCAGGGCTAACTGGAATATAGGTAAGTGTATTTCAAACTAATAAAAATGCAGAAATTCAACAAATATTTGTCAGTCTACTTCCTGCCAATCCCTTCAGTCTAGTTTACACATTTAATGGGTATTTTCGTCTGTTTTTCTAGACAAATCCTTCACTCATAAAGGGATCTGGCGGTTGGCACTTCTCTTTAGCACTCTTTTTTTTTCATAATTATCTTTCTTTTCAACCTGGCATAGAACAGAAAAGAGGTTAAGATTAACATGAAACACCACACCCCCCCCACAGTCAGACAGGCTTTTATGCTGGAAAAATGCAGCTAGAAGCCCATCCTGAGGCTTGTAAAGATTCCCGTAGCTTTCCACCCAAACACTCAGTGCTGAGAAATAGTCACAGCACGCTATAACATCTCCAGGAAAAGATCACCCTAAAGATTATCACCTCAAATCCTGCCTCCCCAGCTGCTCTGCAAGTCAGCGTTTCCTAGGACAGCGGGAGAGTCAGGTGTAAAGATGAAGATGGCGCTGGGGGAGGTCTGTTTAGGAAAGGCATGCTTCTTTACCCTAAAACCAAAAGCAAATAATCTAACTAAGCCAATATGCAAAAGTGGTTGTCTAATAAGATACACATTTTTTCTGTGGCACATCCCTCTGTTGAGTATTTTGCTTTATTTTTTTTATTGCATGAACTCTAAAGCTTGTTTGTTCATGGTGCTATTTTAATTTAAGCAATGCTTTTTCTTTTAAACAACTTCACACGTTATCATAAACACTTAATGGCTATGCAAACAATTTTTACTCACTTTAAACCAACACAGCTATTCATGGAAGTGCCAAATGTAAATAGAATCAATGCATAAACTCCCAGTTCTCTCCTATCCTTGCTGCCTTAGGAGGCCTGCTCTGAGCTCAACAAGGGCTCATGTTCAAGGCTCTGACAAAACTGGAGCATCCAATCAATGAGAAAATAAAACATTATTAAGAGTTCTAAAAATAAGCTGAAGTCTCCATCATGAGAAAACATGCACTATGATGGATTTCCTGACACCACTTTATGATTTATTTTTCATTTAAAATTATAGCTGGGGTATGGGTACCATGTATAAAGTTCCTAAAGAGCTCAGCTAGCCCAGGTCCCACTTCAGCCAGCTTTTCCTAAGAGCTGTCATTTATTATACCCTGAGATTGCATTAACACAGCCACAGGGGCCCAGTGACCAATCAGAATGCACTCTGCCCCCAAGGGACCAGTATACCAGTAAGTGCTGGCTGAAGGCCAGGGCCTTGGACACCCAAGCAGCACAAGGAAGGAAAAAGAGGAGGTGACTGCTGAAGCTTTGCTATTCTTATGAAATCATTTGTATCTAACTGTATCAGCATTTAGCTCCCATTTCTCTATGTTGTCCAAGAAACCAAGACCTTAATAATAAATTTTTGGAAGTCTTGCAAAAGCTCAATACATTATATCCAAGGCATCATTACCACTTGCCAGATGAAAAGAATATTAATTGTTTTTTTTTTTAAATTGAGAACTTTTACATAGTAATTTTGGTTCTTTGTTCCTATCTCCCTGACTCCTCTTAACAGTTCCTCTTCTTGAAAGCAAAGCAGAACTCAAAAGTATACATAATCACACCTTAACAGGTTACCATTTCCCTAAAAACTTGGTAACTGAAAAAGAAGGAAATTCTGTTTTTACAAACCAGTAATCAGACATCAGATTTATCCCGATCATAAAGGACCAGCTCCTGCAGTCCAAGAGAGAAAGGCTGAACCAACCCAGGAAGTTTCAGGATTATACCTCTGAACAGAGACCTGACCTTATAACCACTATTTTGTAAACATTTTTGTTTATCCAAGATCAAAAAGTTGCAAGAAATCTGTGAACCTGTAATTCATGGCATAATTTCATTATCCATTAGTTTAAAATTGCCATATCCACAGGATGTGGCAGGTCTTAGAAGTTTCAAGAAGGGGAAGCTGCTAGGCCATGAGTTTGTCTTCGGGTCACTAAAAGCAGACCTTAGTTCAGAGATGAGTCAACTCTGTGGCCTCACACAATTAGCAAATGAGGGGTGAGGCATTAGTACCTCCCCAGGAAAGGGAGGGTCATGAACTTTGTGACCTGAAAGGATTACCCCTCCCAACATTCCTAGCTAGGCACAGCACTTCAACAGGGAGAAGATGGGTAAATTTGCATAAGGTTAAGGAGTTGCCGTATTTTATTGGGTTCCAAAATCACTGTAGACGATGACTGCAGCCATGAAATTAAAAGATACTTGCTCCTTGGAAGAAAAGCTATGACAAACCCAGACAGCATATTAAAAAGCAGAGATGTTACTTAGCCAACAAAGGCCCGTCTAGTCAAAGCTATGGTTTTTCCAGTAGTCATGTATGGATGTGAGATTGGGACCATAAAGAAAGCTGAACACTGCAGAATTGATGCTTTTGAACTGTAGTCTTGGAGAAGACTCTTGAGAGTCCCTTGGACTGCAAGGAGATCAAACCAGCCAATCCTAGAGGAAATCAATCCTGAATATTCATTGGAAGGACTGATGCTGAAGCTGAAGCTCCAATATTTTGGCCAACTGATGGGAAGAGCCAACCCATTAGAAAAGACCCTGATGCTGGGAAAGATTGAAGGCAGGAGGAGAAGGGGACGACAGAGGATGAGATGGTTGGATGGCATCACTGACTCAATGGACATGAGTTTCAGCAAGCTCCAGGAGTTGCTGATGGACAGGGAAGCCTGGTGAGCTACAGTCTATCGGGTCACAAGGAGTTGGACACAACTAAGCGACTGAACTGAAACTAATAGCAGAGCCTCCTTAAAATACAGCTGCCCTCCACCTCCCCTTCAGAGGGAAGACAGACTCTCACCACCAGGAAGTATGAATTCTGCTTCCATCAGCATCAAAAAGCCCAAGAGAACTTTTCATACTTTCCCACTAAAGCTCTAAGCCCCCCACCCCTTTTTTCTTAAATTGATGTATACATCTTTACCTCTGGACTCTTGACAAATTACTCCTTACTGAGTACTCCTACAAGCACAGGTAAATAAGCCTTCTCTTTTCTCCTGTTAGGACTTCCCTAGTGGTTCAGATGGTAAAGCGTCTGCCTACAATGCGGGAGATCGGGGTTCGATCTTCTGGAGAAGGAAATGGCAACCCACTCCAGTACTCTTGACTGGAAAATCCCATGGACAGAGGAGCATGGTAGGCTACAGTCCATGGGGTCGCAAAGAGTTGGACACGACAGAGCGATTTCACTTTCACTTACCTTTTCTCCTGTTAAATCTGGCTACTAATTGACTTGCAACTAATGTGCGCAAAAGAATGTTCAGAAAATTGATATAAAAAATAAAGGAATAACTGACCAAATTTGAATGCCAGTGCATACAAACTCACAGAGAGACAGACAGGGAGAAAAAAGAAAACCAAATAGTCTAACAACTTTTATGGCTAGAATAACAAAAGGGGGAAAGAAACTAATATCTAACAGTGGTTTTCTATGTAAATACACATACCCGATTTGCTAAATTCTTGACACTGCTCCCTACAATATTTCACCTTTTAGGGAGTGAAACATCTATCCAAGCAATCTAAGAGCCATTCCTAACTCTTTTTTTTTTCTTATCCTATACATTCATATTCATTGTCAAGACAAGCAGATCTGACCTCCTAAGCATCTCTCCCGGTCTTCTACCTACACTGCTGCCACCTCCACTTCCTCTGGGACTTCTTTTTTTTCTTAATTTTTATTGGTGTATAGTTGATTTACATTGCTGGGACTACTACAGTAGCCTCCTAACTGGTCCCTGGCATTCACTTGCTTCTCCTGCTACTCCCAATTCCATTCACTACAGAGAACTTTTAAAATAGCTTATCACTTCTGATCTCAGACTCCCCCAGTGGATTTCCAGTGTTCCTAGAATCTTTGCCAAGCTATTTTGCATCATTCTCTCCTTGTTCATTACTTTTCAGCCACTAAGGTCTTTCTGGAAAGGGTCAGGCTCTATCCTACCTCACTCTTTACTTGGAAAGATCAAATGAAGCTCATCATCTGATCTCAGATTAAATGTCACCTTTTCAGAGACCTCTTTGCTGCCTTACTGCTTGTGGAGGAAAACTGACCCCTGCCACAGCAGTAAACAAAGAAAGTTACCTTCAAGCCATCAGCTACTACAGCCGCCCCCAACTGTGCATCCTGAGAGGACTCAGGATGGGAGAAAAGTTAGCTAAGGTACACATCAAAGGAATGATTTCAGTGAGCCCAGATTCTTGCCTCTTTCCATACATAGAAAGGTACTAAATTCATTAACTTGAGATGTCTGGTTTTCTTTATCTAATAGTCCTCTTTTGACATTCTGACTACTTGGTTTTGTTGCAAAACTCCTATTATATCCTGGCCCCTCCCTTTGTTGTTCAGTCATTAAGTCCTGTCCAACTCTTTGTGACCTCATGGAGAGCAGCATTCCAGGCTTCCCTGTCTTTCTCTATCTCCTGGAGTTTGCTCACATGTCCATTGAGTTGGTGATACTATCCAACCATCTCATCCTCTGTCGTCCCCTTCTTCTGCCGTCAATTTTTCCCAGCATCAGGGTCTTTTCCAATGAGTTGGCTCTTCACATCAGGTAACCAAAGTATTGGAACTTCATCTTCAGCATCAATCTTTCCTTTACCTCTTTCAAATAGTTCTGCAAAGCTGAGAGGCTGCCTCCTGGGCTTAAAGTATTCAGAAAGTTCATCAAATAAAACATAATTCTCAACTTTTAGGTTGTGCATTTTATCTCAATTGCCACATTCAACTTCAAAATTAAGTATTTATTCTCTACAATTACAACCTATAGAACTGGTTATAATTTTCTTTCATAGAATGGGTCAAAATGTGTGACAATATACTTCTTTGTGTGCTTATTCAGTCCCCTCCCTTCTTCCAATAGACAGTAAACTCCATTCAGGCAGGGGACATGGTGCTTTTGTTTCCACTTATACCTACTGCCCAATACAATATCCAGTACCATAGGAGAGGATCAAGAAATATTTGTTGTCTGCTAATGCAATTAGGTATTTTAATCTCCACATTACCTGTTATAAGATGACCATGTGACCCAGTTTGCGTGACACCGTCTTTGTTTACACCTGTTGAACTAGCATAATGATTGACAAATTCTCACTTTCGTTCTGGGCTTTATGATGAGTAATATAGTTACTCTACCTATAAGGAAGTTGAGATTCAGAGAGATCATATAGACTCAATTCTCCTTATCCACGGTTGTTATTCTCTATAGAGTCTTCATGAACACTGAATTAGCAAACGCTGAATCCCTGCTCGAAGGTAAAATGCAGAATTACATTCCCCCACCCCAACCCAGGGAGTGACTGGTCAAAATACTTCCTTCAGCCAATCAATAAATAACCTGGCTTCATGTGTGTTTCTGTTTAAAGACACCTTATTTAACATGTATTGTTGATCCATTAACCTTGAACTCATGGCATCAACATGCTTACTCATGTCTGTACAAAGCTAATTAGCTTACATAGTTTCTTTTTAAGGCATAGCACAGCTTTCTTACATTTGGGAACACAGCACTCCATCACTATGCTTTGGGCTAATTTTAAATAGTGAAATCACAAACAAAAAGCATAAAACATTGGAAAACATGACACTAAATAGACTATGAAAAAAAAAAGGACATTTGTTTACAGTACAAGAGCTGAACCAAGAAGGCAGAGTACCTTGTTCGACCTCGGCTGGGAACTTGCTCACTGGGCAATTCCAAATGTTCACTGCTCTGTTCATGTCTTTGAGTGACTACAAAAGCACCCTAAGCACCAATTTGAGGTTATAAATAAACACTCTCAAGTAGGCAAATTCACAAATATGGAATCCTCCAACAATGAGGATGGAATTGTCTAAAGTGATTACAGACACTGTAAAGTGAGGACAGACCCCAGAAAATGTCCAAATTCACATCCATTCATTAGACCAGTATCACCAAGGAAAGAGCTGCTCTTTTTGAAGCAAGGTACCACTACTCTGGATTTCTTGTTGTTCAGTCTCTTAAGTTGTGTCCAACTCTGCAACCCCATGGACTGTAGCCTGCCAGGCCCATCTGTCCGTGGGGTTTTCCAGGCAAGAATATTGGAGTGGGTTGCCATTTCCTTCTCCAGGGGAATCTTCCCAGACCAGGGATGGAACCCACCACCCCTGTATCGGCAGGCAGATTCTTTACCACTGAGCCACCAAGGAAGCCCATTACTCTAGATAGATTGGTTATAATTATTAAAACCCCTAGATTGCCAGTTTATCAAAGTTTCAGTAGAAAGTACAGAGAGAGGCAAAACTCCTTCACAGAATGGACACAAATCTGTATAAAACTACTTAGCAATTGACAACTCTACACTACTCAAGAGTTAAACTGCAAGAACTACTACTAAGTGACAATTCACAAGGGAGTCCCAAGTAACTTATAAATAACAATAGGTGATTTCACAATAAGATGTAGACCCTAAGATTTACCAAAAAAAATGCAAATTTATGAGAGTATAAATATTTTAAGACTCAAAATTTGAACCACCCACAAACTAATGTACAGGTAAACTGATCTACAGAACATGAGAAATCCAGTATCTATGCCTCTTCCTTGTCCACAGGAGAGGAAAACTCTTTAACAATGCTCCAATACTTGATTACTCTCACTATTCAAGAAATCCTCTCTATGATTTCTCACTTCTTACTAAATTTCTTTTTACTCTTTCACTTTTTTTGGGTGAGGGGGGTGGTTTGTGGCATGTGGGATCTTAGTTCCCTGATCAGGGATCCAACCCACGCCATCTGCATTAGAAGCTCAGAGCCTTAGCCACTGGACCACCAGGGAAGTCTATTTATTCTTTTAAAACACATTCAATCACAAGGGTTGAGAACAGCCTATAAGTTTATGAGAAGTATGGATAAAAATAGTGTAAATTACAACTTAGTTTTATATTTAGAAATTTAAAAGACTATTTAAGAATTCAGCATTAGACAAATACTTCCTACTGGTCCACTTCATGCTAACTGGCTTTGTTACCATGTAAAGACATACACTGCTTTATGGATAGAAGGCATAATATCTGAAACAGCTAATTGATATGAATTTAAGGCAATTTCTAGATCAATTGCTTTATACTTAAAAAAAAAAAGTCTTCTTCCCACTATTTAGAAACTAGAGAGGGTTTAGAGAGGGTTTTGAAATTTGGGAGAAAATTAAATGTTCTCTCCTAAACTCAATTTAGAGTTCATGATTTGAAATAATTTCAGACTTACATAAAAGTTTCAAAATGATCAAAAAAATAAACAACCCAATTAAAAATGGGCAGAAGACTTGCATAAACACTCTTCCAGAGAGGACATGCAGATGGCCAACAGGCACATGAAAAGATGCTCAACATTGCAAATCATCAGGGAAATGTACATCAAAACCAGAATGAGGTATCACTTCATAGCTGTCAGAATGATTATCAGCAAAAACAAAACAAACAAAACACCTGCAAATACCAAATGTTGGCGAATATGTGGAGAAAAAGGAACCCTAATATGCTGTTGGTAGGAACGCAAATTGGTGCAGGCCCTATAGAAAACAGTATGGCGGTTTCTCAAAAAAATAAAACTGGAACTACTATATGACCCAACAGTTCGACTCCTGGGTACATATCCAAAAAAAAACAAAAAACAGTAATTTGAAAAGATGCATCTACCCCAATGTTTAGAGTAGCATCATTTACAACAGCCAAGAAATAGAAGCAACCTAAGTGTCCATCAACAGATGAATGGATCAAAAAAATGTGGCATATGTATATCTATGGGCTTCCCAGGTGGTGCTAGTGGTAAAGAACCTGCCTGCCAATGTTGGAGCCGTAAGAGACTCAGGGTTCGATCCCTAGATGGGGAAGATCCCCTGCAGGAGGGCGCAGCAACCCACTCTAGTACTCTTGCCTGGAGAATCCCAGAGACAGAGGAGCCTGGTGGCTACAGTCCATAGGGCTGCAAAGAGCCAGACAGGACTTAAGTGACTGAGAATGCACACGCACGTGTGTGTGTGTGTGCAAGCACACACATATATATACACACACATATATGCACACACACACATATACACACACACATATATCCACACACATGCATATATATACATATATACACACATGTATGGATGGGTTTCTCCAGGCAAGAATATTGGAGTGTATTGATGCACCCTCCTCCAGGGGATCTTCCCCACCCATGGATGGAACTCTGAGTCTCTTTTTCTCGAGCATTGGCAGGTAGTTTCTTTACCCCTACCACCACCTGGGAAGCGCCAAAACAAAACACAACTTCTCCTTACAAAGGTATCCCTAGCTTCCCATACCAAGAAGGGAATAGCAACCTTATCACCTGAGATGAGATAGCACCAGATGGACCTGCACAAACAAACCCCACTAAATTTGACCCTTACCTTCCATTACTTCTCACATAGCTTTACTTTCCTACATTTTACCATCCTTGGAAGCCTAATACTCCTTTCCTTCACCTTGTCACTATTCTAAAAATTTTTGTTCTTTGTTAAGATACCATACAAGCCCAAGTTCTAACCACCCCTTTGAGTCACTCTTCACTGAGTTTCTCTCTTACGTGTGCATGCTGCTTGTGTCAATCAACTCATGTATTTTTCTCTCATTATTCCATCTTTTCAATATAATTTGCAGGACCCCAACTGGAGATCCTAGGAGAATAAAGGAAAAAGATGTGTTTCCTCCCCTATAACTATATATGAAAAAGTTGTAGACACAATGCCCCTGTACCCTAAATATTTCAACATGTACTTCTGAAGATCAAGAGCATTCACTTACAGGGAATTCCCTGGCATTCCAGTGGGTGGGACTCCAGGCTTTCACTGCCAGGGGCATGAATTCAATCTCTGATCAGGGAACTAAGATCCTACAAGCCCTGTAGTGCAGTAAAAAAAAAAAAAAAAAAATCACTTACATAAACAGAGCATAGTTATCAAAATCAGGAAATTAAAATTGATATAACACTAGTATATAATCTACAAGACCTATTCAAATGCCACTAATGAGCCCAATTATTTCCCTTATCATACAAAACAAAGAATTTGCTTCCCTGCCTGGGAGCCAATCCAGGATTGCTAGCAGAATTAAGTTTTTCATCTTTGGTCTCTTTCAGTCTGGGAGATTGCTCAGCCTTTGTCTTTTGTGACCTTGACATTTTTGAAGAGTACAAGAAAAATCTACAAAAGTTACTTTTCAGAATGTCCCTTGATTTCGGTT